GGGGCGGGTGGGTTGCAGGGGATCAACAGAGCAGGTGGAGGGAGCAGTTATGGCTGCTCTCAGTCCTGTCCCCAGAGGCTCTGCTTCTCAGAGTCCCAGCAACCGCTGCAAACCTCGGAGAGAAAGCTGCCCTCGCGTTCCGACCGATGCCAGACAGTCCTGTTTCTCCCGTTTGAATCTGAGTCCCCAGAGACTCGCCAGAACTGGAGCTCAGAATCTGAGCTTCGCTCCTGATTGAAAACGCCAACCGCGCCCTCAGCTACCAGCCTGCTCCGCACTTACCTCCCCACCTTTATATTTTCCGCACTGCCCCTCCTCTGAGTCTCGTATGCTGTTCTCTTTCCTTCTAGTTGAAGAATTTCCCCTCAGCCAGTCTTCCTGTGGTTCTGGGCGATGTCCGTTGCGTCTTTTAGTTGTATTTTGAAGTGGTTATTCGAGGCAGCTAACTCCGATGTTTACCTATGCCGCCATCTTGGTTTCTCTCAAAATTTTCTATTGTAGATGTCTGCAATGAATTATCCATTTATGATATGAATTACATTGTTTGTCTTTAAGGCTTTTATCCGTTGATTGGGTGGAAGATTGGAGAAGAGGTTGTATGCATAGCTGAAGGCAATGCAGGAGACACTGGTACTGCCATAAAATGGGCTCAGCAATTAGGTAAGTTATCCTTTACACAGATTTCACAGGCCAGACTTAAAGAAGTTAAGAATGCCACAGGATCGCAGATCAGTAGGAAATGATGACTTGTTCAAATGAAACATAAGGTAAAATGACATGTGCTAGAAGAAAATATAGGATGTTATTTTTATATTAGGATGGTAAAAGCTTAGGTGTTAAGGCCAGATGCCATAAAGATAACAATAAATTTATGCATATAAAATGTTAGAATGTGTAGGGAGAGAGTTGCCATAAAGCAAAACTAAAAGACATATTGGTGAGAACCATTTGTAGCATATGTCAGAAAAATTAAAAAGATGATAAAAAATTGACAAATCAAATGACTAAAAGTGTTCAAATTCAATAATAAAAGAAATACACATTTAAAAAATTATGTCACCTCTCATTATCAGAATTAATTAGTTTGATATGCTCAGCATTGGTGGGAATGTAGAGACAATAATATTATTTTTTCCATTGGGATGAATGTTAATTATTAGTATGGCCTTGCCAAGCTACTGTTGTGCAGTGGTTGAGTGTCAACCTATGAACCAGGAGGTCATGGTTCAATTCCCCATCAGGGCACATGCCTGGTTTTCGGGCTTGATTCCCTAGTAGAAGGCATGCAGGAGGCAGCCCATCAGTGATTCTTTCATCATTGATGTTTCTATCTATCTCTCCCTCTCCCTTCCTCTCTGAAATCAATCCTATAAAATAAAGAGGCAATATGCAAATTGACCATCACTCCAACACACAAGATGGCCTCCCCCATGTGGACACAAGATGGCTGGCAGGGGAGGGCAGATGTGGGCGATCAGGCCAGTAGGGGAGGGCAGTTGGGAGGGACCAGGCCTGCAAGGGGTGGCAGTTGGTTGCGATTAGACCTGCAGGGGAGGGCAGTTAGGCGTTAATTTGGCTGGCAGGGGAGTGTTTAGTGGGTGATCAGGCTGGCAGGCAGAAGCAGTTAGGGGCAACAGGCAGGCAGGCAGGCTAGCGGTTGGGAGCCAGCAGTCTTGGATTGTGAGAGGGATGTCCCAGATTGGAGAGTGTGCAGGCTGGGCTGAGGGATGCACATACCCACCCCCCATGCACGAATTTCATGCACCAGGCCACTAGTAAAAGTATATTTTAAAAAAATTACTATGGCCTTTCTGGAGGACCATCAGGCAGTATGATTGAATGAAGACCCTTTACCAGGCCTACTAACTAGAGGACAGTTTGGGGGGACCCAGACCTGCAGGGGATAGCAGTTAGGGGCAACCAGGCCAGCAGGGGAGGGCAGTTGGGGCAGACCAGGCCTGCAGGGGAGGGCAGTTGGGGGCGACCAAGCCGACAGGGGAGGGCAGTTATATTTTTTGTTTTATTTTTTGTTTTCTATCGAAATAGACAGGTGTGCAAAGATGTATACATACATGGGTGTTTAATGCAGTAATTGGAAATAAGTTCCTATCTATACTAATAAAAGGGTAATATGCTAATTAGACCAGTTCAACCGGACATTTTCTGGATGTCCAACTTCCGGAAAGTTAGGGGGTGTCCAGGCTGGCAGGGGGTCAGTTAGGGGGCAACCAGGCTGGCGGGGGGGCATCCAGGCTGGCAGGGGAGCAGTTAGGGGGTGATCAAGCAGGCAGGCAGGCAAGTGATTAGGAGACAGTGGTCCCAGATTGTGAGAGGGATGTCCGACTGCCAGTTTAGGCCTGATCCCACAGGGATTCAGACATCCCCCGAGGGGTTCTGGATTGGAGAGGGTGCAGACCAGGCTGAGGGATCCCCTCCCATGCATGAATTTCATGTACTGGGCCTCTAGTCTAATAATAAAGCACTAACTAGATAAATAAATATCAGTATATCAATATAGTAGAACATTGTACACTCACACATGACAGTATAGTTGCATATCTTATTGAAATGGAATATTATCTATTATACTGCAAAGAGGGGATGAAGCAGTTGCCTGTGTAAATATTTTTGCTTATTTAAAAACTAGCTTTATTGAGATGTAATTCACATACCATATAACTCACTTATTTAAAGTATACAATTTTTTTAGCATTTTCACAGCTTTATCACAATCTCATTTTAGAACATTTTTGTTCCCCCTATACCCATTAGTAGTGATACCCTGTTCCACCTCCCATTCCTAAGCTACCATTAAGCTACTTTGTATCTCTATAGATTTGCCTGTTCTGGACATTTCAGAATGGGTTCAGAATGGGTTAGAATCATATAACATAAGGTCTTTGTAACTGGTTTCTTTCAGCACAGTCTTTTCAAGGGTCACCTATGTTGTAGCATGTGTCAATTCTTCATTTCTTTTTATTGCTGAATAATATTCCATTGTGTGGATGTGTCGCAGTTTATCAGTTGATGGACATTTGGGTTGTTTCCTCCTTGTGGCTATCATGAATACTGAACAGCCTGTATATTACATAACCATATTTCATGCATAAAGTGTGAAATGTTATATACCAAAGTATTAGCAGTTATTATCTCTGATAATTAAATTATAGAGCAGGCTCTGACTCTCTGCTCTTTTCAACTAAGCTGATATGTTTAAAGACAAAGATAATTCTGTTGGCAGAAAACATACACTCTAGGAGGGAAATTCCAATTCATTTATTCATTTCTTCCTTTTTTTCTATTTGTCTATAAGCCTTCATCTACATCGTAAATATAAGATTACTTATTAACAAAAAATATTTACTTCAGAGCTTTTTATTACTTAACTCTTCCCCTTAAATGTACTTCTTATAATTTTTTGGACATGTATCTTTAGATAACTTCAGATTATAGAAACTATAGGTTATATACGTCTTCTTTTTTAGTTATACCTTTTAATTTTATTGCTTTCCAGAAGATGCAAAGAAAAAGTAGAATAATTTCACATTCGTCATTAAGAAAAAATCATCATCAAGTTGCATGTGACATCATGTGCATGAGTCAGTGGGAATCATTTCACTGCTTACTGAGGTTGAGGGTCATCCATTGTAGTTCTCAAATAATGAGCACTCTTTTCTGGGAGATGGAGTTAAAATGCCTTGACTTATCAAAGTGATGTGACTTCTGGTAGAGGCATGATGCCCTTCTGAAGGCTAATCCCATCTCTGCAGGAAAACAGAACTGTTGGTCTAACTGGAGGGAGAGAGAATTCAGAGTTGAATTATTTACTTTAAAATTTCAATGATTGGCATAGCTAAATATTATTGGTATGTATCTGTCTGAAATACAAAAAGCCAACATTTACTTGACTATATCTCTTTGTAGTCTGAGCATTCACTTTAATGGGTATATCGACAAACATAACTATACTAGAGGCCCAGTGCATGAAAATTCATGCACTGGAGGAAGGGGGTCCCTCAGCCCAGCCTGCCCCCTCTCACAGTCTGGGGTGGGAGGCAACCCGGTGATCAGGGGAAGGCGACGCCCTCAGGGGTGGGAGGCGACCTGGCGATCAAGGGAAGGCGATGCCCCCATCACACCTCTGCTGCTGCCACTGCCGGCAGCGCAAACCTCAGCCAGCCCTGGTTACCTGAGCCTCGGGTGGCCTAGGCAGCCTCCATCTGAGGCTTGCCTGTACCACAGGCCAGCCCTGGGCAGCTGGGCAGCTGGGGATCTGAGGTTTTCTGGAGGCAGATGGGCTGAGGGGATTGAGTGCTGCCATCTTGTGGCTGTGGGCACCGCCATCTTTGAGGGCAGGGCAGTCAATTAGCATATTACCTCCTTATTGGCTGTGGGTGCCGCCATCTTTGCAATGGTGGGAGAGTCAATTAGCATATTCCCTCTTCTTTAGATAGGATTACATTCAGGAGAAACACAGGATATACTAATAAGAGCTTAAATAACCCTGTCATTTCCTTGAAGACGTGCAGTCTGAAGCTTCATATCTTTGTGTGATAAGCTGAGCTTGTTCCACTTTGAGTGTGGCTTCCTTTCATGTCTTTGCTGGGTGGTACAACTCAGGCTCAGGCATAGATGCTGTTTTAAAGTAGAAAAATATTATTTTCTTAATCTTTTTTACACAGGCCAGTTCTCTCTCATCTTTTTTTTTTCCCCGTTAGTGTCGTATGTTAACTGCCATATTTGGGTCCCTACATGTTCATCTTTTCTCTTTTTAATTTGGTCCATTTCTGTTCCTCATCACTCTTTGTTCTATTTTGCTGTCATAATCTTATAAATATTTTTATGTCTGAAACCATACATGCTAGGATACCAGTGAAGAAGACAAATACCGCTGTCTTCATGGAGGATATAGTCTAGCAGAAGCACACATATTAAATAAACAATTGGAAAAAAACACACAAACCAAAACAAAAACCATTAGTGTTAAGTACCAGGAAGGACAAGTAGATATGGAGTCAGTGATGTCTTTCTAAAGAAAAGACTTATTCTGATTGGAGAATCAGAATATTTCTTTCTTTTTTCTTTTATTTACTTAATTGGGGTGACACAGATTGACAAAATTATACAGGTTTTAAGTGCACAATTCTACAACATATCATCTGTACACTGTATTGTGCATTCACCACCCCAAGTCAAGTATCCATCTATCACCATGTATCTCCTGTACCCTCCTCCACCTCCTCTCCCCCCTAGCAGTCACCACACTGTTCTCCATGTCCATGAGGTGTTTATTTTTTTTTGTTCAGTCCCTCCACCCCTTCCACCCAGCCTCACTCCACCCCAACAGCTGTCAGCCTGCTCTCTGTCTCTGAGTCTCTCTATTTTGCTTGTTAGTTCATTTTGTTCGTTAGAGTCCACATATGAGTGAATACATAAGGTACTAGTCTTTCTCTCACTGGCTTCTTTCACTTAGCATAATGCTCTCCAGGTTCATTGATGCTGCTGTAAAGGTAGGCTTTCCTTCTTTTTTACAGCCAAGTAATATTCCATTGTGTAATGTGCCACAGCTATTTTTCCACTCATCCATGGATGGTCACTTGGGCTGCTTCCAAATCTTAGCTATTGTAAATAATGCTGCAATGAACACAGGGGTGCATATATTCTTTTGAATTAGTGTTTCAGGTTCCTTCAGATATGTTCTCAGAAGTGGAACCACTGGGTCATAAGACAGTTTTATTTTTTGAGGAAACTCCCTACT